AGTCAGTAATGTTCTTTAACTTTGCCATGTTGGTGGATATCTGATGCAAGCGGAAAATCGTTCACAAAATTCAGAGTGGACTGGTTACGTGAAATATTAAATTTGGAACTATGACAACGGACTGTTTATTGATATAATGCAGACAACACCCAGAATTTACCAGACAGAATAATACTTACTGCATGTGGTTTGTATTATATATAAGGGTAATTAATAAAACTACATGGGTGTACCGGAAGGAAAAATTTAGGGGGGCGGAAAGAAATTTGCCCGAGAAAGAAATTTGCCCTCCCCCCAGTCGCCAAAAAAATTTCGGTCAGTGTACCATTTTAGGGGTCAAAAATTTTTCCCAAGAACACAAATTTTCGAAACATTAAAAAAGTGACCACAAAATTTACAGAATTTGTCCGATTTATTTTTTTAATAAACCAATATTGCGCGACTGTTCAGCGAATATTGCCCGACTGCTCAACAAACTGGGGTGGCTGCCGCCCCCCCCCGGTACGCCCATGTAAAACTACACTGAAATTATATACAACAACAACTTTCCACTTATATATACGCAACTACGAGCGCAACGAAAGTATATCAGTTCGATATTCGCAGTATCACAACTCGAAAGAAGTGTGTTATTTCGCTGTCGTCAATGCGGTCGTTATAATGCAAATATCAAATTTGACCAATCAGTGTTCACTATTCACGCAGTCCGCTACATATTTTGAGATCAGTGAGGATGACCATCCACGAACGGTGAGCCATGTGCCCACGATATTTGAAGAACTTTAGACTTCGTTGGTGCGTTCCTTTCCCCGGGTGCATGTAAATAGGGGACGACCTAACCTGAAGTTCAGGCCCTAATTTGAAATAGGGCCTGACACAAAACCTGTCTAGACCGTGGGACGCCCACATGTTATTTTTAGACACAACATGCAATATGATTGACAAGTGTTGTAGATTTCGTATTTTCGTTACACAAAAAATTTATATTCTCATGAACATGCCGCAGAGTGTGCATTTTGCTTTTTAATTAAACTTAAAAATTCAAGGTACTTTTATATAATTAAGAGTCAGTTTCTCTATTTAACCGAACAGTAAACAAAGATTTAATAGTCAGTTCTGTGCACGGCTTGACTGCCAAGCTTTGTCAAGGTCTCAACTTGCTGGACACGGATATACTCTAACAACTAACGGGCTAACAACAGCAACAATGAAATTCTCAATCGTACCACGAAGAAGGCGATGTAGCTCAGAAAACAACGCCGGTAGGACCTGATATTAAAAATAAGTCTTTTGCCGGCGAAGCCAGTTGGCAGAACATCTTGGCTGTCAACAACAAGCTTTCGAATACATGACTAGTTTGGCTGTTCTTTCAGCGTCGTGTGTCCAAAATTCGTCAAAGATTTTGATGAAGCCCTTTCAAAATACTGTTTGATTGATTAATTTTCTGCCATAAAGCATAAAAGAAAAGAAATTCGAAAAAATCGATAATGGAATTTGTTACGTGCGTTTGACCTTATATTAATTATCGCCCTTGACCGAGCTATTTTTAAAACTGTGTTTATGTGAACTTGCAACCAATCAAAATCCTTCATGATGCTGATCAACCAATCAGATATCCCGTCCACCAGATGGACGGGAATCTCACAGTTTAGATAGGTTTTGTGTCAGGCCCTATTCTGTGATTAGGGCCTGAACTTCAGGTTAGAGACGACCCAATCTTTCGGCCATACAAACCTGAATTGTAAGGCACGATTTTTGTTTCTAAGTCCCAGCACTGGTTCAAGTTCTGAGTTGCCGTGATTATACACATAATAAATCATTCCATGTTGTGATCCGTGTGTGATTACATGTATGATATTCATAGATCTATAATTTAACTAAACTCTGTATCAAATATACGAGAAAATAGGTAGCCTTTTTAAAGTGCTACTAACCGGCCAAATATATTTTTGGTATGTGTAATATTTGGGTCATTTCAATAGGAAATGTAATCTCATCTTGCTTAACTTTTCACTGTTGAAGTACCCAGATATGATGTGGCGTTTTTGCTGCTAAAATTCCTCTAATAATAACATATCCGCCTACAATACGAGAGTGAAAAAATTTATCAAAATAAGGTTTTTTACTATAAAGATATATTATGATTACATTTCTTCTTGAAATGATCCAAAAATCTCACATACAAGAAATCATACTTGGGGTTAGAAGTATTGTAAGGAAATGACCAACTTCAGGCTTGGCGCGCCCTTCCCCCATGATGGCAAAATATGTATGGCGGCCTGAGAGTCTCAGTGAAGTAGTATATATATATATATATATATATATATATATATATATATCTTCCCCCATGATGGCAAAATATGTATGGCGGCCTGAGAGTCTCAGTGAAGTAGTATATATATATATATATATATATATATATATATATATATATATATATATATATATATATATATATATATATATATAGTGTATATATTTATATATATTATTTCTTAGCAGTCGGTTGTGGTTTGTTGTTTTAATGGACCCAATATATATTTTATATTCCCCAATTAACCAAAATTTTGAACTCAACAAGTCTAGACAAAAATTTCATCACAGCTAATTGAAAGAGTATCGCAAAATTAGTAATATTCCAAAGTTTCGTTGCAAAATGTTGTAAAATGATAATATAGCCTTGCGAAGTTTGCAATTTTCAGTCATTTTAGATTACAAACGGGAAATCGTTACCACTTCTGTGCGTAATAGCCTACAAAATGACTGAAAATTGCAAACTTCGCAAGGCTATATATTATCCGCATTTTACAACATTTTGCAACGAAACTTTGGAATATTAATAACTTTGTGATGCTCTTTCAAGCTATGATGAAATTTTTGTTTCGGCTAGTTAAGATCAAAATTTTGAAAAAGTAGTAACCATTTCCCGTTTGTAATCTAAAATGACTGAAAATTGCAAATTTCGCTATATTATCCGCATTTTACAACATTTCGCAACGAAACTTTGAAATGTTATTAATTTTGTGATGCTCTTTCATGCTATGATAGAATTTTGTCTAGTCATGTTGAGATCAAAATTTTGGTTAATTGGGGAATGGTCCATTGACCTTACTAGACCTTACGTCACTGTCAAAAAGTGAATATTTGACCCACATGGTATTCCACATTGTATACACAGCAAAAAATCATTTTCTTATTAAGAAAAAAATTACGTCACTGTCAAAAAGTGAATATTTGACCCACATGGTATTCCACATTGTATACACAGCAAAAAATCATTTTCTTATTAAGAAAAAATACATTCTTAATTTAAGAAAAAAAATCTTAAAATAAGAAAATAATTTTCTTAGTAAGAAAAAATTTTCTTGAAATAAGATGAAATAAGAAATTTTTGAATCCCAAGATATCTTTTTCTTAAAATAAGAAACAATTTTCTTAATAAGAAAGCTCTTAGTAAGAAAAAATTTTCTTGAAATAAGAAATTTTTGAATCCCAAGATACCAGATATCTTTTTCTTAAAATAAGAAACAATTTTCTTAATAAGAAAGCATTTTCTTAAAATAAGAAAATACGATTTTCTCAGTACTTTCTTAATAAGAAAACATTTTCTTAAAATAAGAAAATACGATTTTCTTACTTTAAGAATATGTTACTTTAAGAATATGTTCGTAAGACAAGAAATATATGAAATTCTTAAAATACAAATTTATAAAATGGTAAGACATTATTACTTAAATTTTCGAAGCAAGAAAATGTAAAATGCTAGTCTTATAGGACAACTTATATCTTAACAAGACTTAGAACAACGTATATCTTATTGCGTCAGGTAAATTTGTAGTTTTTATTTCGAATTGAAGAGACTATATGGTCGGCAGTACATTGACTATATGGTTAAAGTTGAATCTTCAGTATAAGATAGATAAACCGATCCCCAATCCCAAACCCTTCTCTAACCCTAACCCCTAACCCTTTGATAATTAGACCGGCCGCCGGTAATATAGTCACTTTGTTTTTATTTCGTTTCCAAAATTTGAGCTCGTTTCAGTTTTATTGAATCGTTGAAGAGAATTTTTGCCCTCCGGAATTTTTATCCAAGCAGGATAGTTCGCCATAGTTCGCGTATTCGCTAAACGCCTGGTACCTAGTTTACCTCTTAGAACGCGAAGCATCGCGGGATAGCGTCGTTTTACATTTTTGTGAAAAATTTTATTATGTAAATATCCATGGATTAAAAAGCGCCTTCAAGGCAATTTAAATGGCAAATAACGATGGGAAAAGCATCAGAAAGTCCTTAAAATGGTGTTCAGATACCACAGGTAAGAATAATTGTATATTTGACTTGTTATTTAAACAGATTCATTGCGAAATAATGTAGTGATTTATATGACTGTTTACTTGAGCGAAGTGTGAAAATATTCCATTGAATGTTTGAATTTGCCGCGTTCGTTTTGCATATAAAACATGCAAATGTTGCTTTCAGGCAACGGACGGAAGATTAAAATATAAATTCATATCTATTATTGTGAATTCCATACTAATTTACGCACTAATATTAACAATTTGACAATATTAAATTGCCTTTGACATTGGCACTTTGCTAGACCTTTCAAATGTCAAGACTCAAGGCTATATAGTGATATGAAATAAGATATTATACATACGGATGTTTTTGAATATCTGTTAGCATTTTAATACTTGAATAAGGATTGGAATTACAGGAGAATGACAGCATTTAATCTGATATTTTCAGTGTATAGATAGCTGAATAACAGAATTGCATCCTACTTTATTGTTTACTCTGTCTAATGCCAGAGGATTTTCCTACTTGCCTTGCCGGATAACTTGGCTACTGTATAGAATGCCGGTTTAGTTTTCCCGACTTACTATACTTCACCCGGGAAACTCTGCAACCCTAGATAGAATGAATAGCCCAGGAATACATACAAATCATTAGGTATGTTTATAGCTTTCCTCTATTTCTATAAGCAGCTTATTCTTGCCTATTTTGTAATCATGTTTTTTAAACCTTTTGAATGATCCAAATTGTGTTTGTATTTTGTCATTCAATAGTATATTTGAACTTCCATGGCAGCATACACTGAATTGCAGAAGTTTTACATTATGATTAGATAGATCAACGGGACTGACGTGAAGCAGACCGAGGTAGACTTTGAGCTTACAAATGGCGCTTGAGCAGCCGCTATTAGTCCATACCTCATTAATGATCTGTCTCCAGACCTTATGTGCCTACCCCACCCTGTCAACTTTCCCTGTGGGAGGAAACACGGAGTACCCGGAGAAAACCCACGACTTTCGGCAGAGCGTTGACTTACTCTTTTCACATTAGGACTGGGTTCCAGTCACAATGAGAAGTCCTCATTGAGATTCGAACCTGCGGCCTTAGAGGTGAAAGGCAAGTGCGCTAACCACTTCGCCACCGAAGCCCCACAGCAATAATGGGGTAACTTGATTTCATATAAATAGACTGCTTTTTTGTCCTGCCTGAGTGAGTAACTCACCTTGACGGGTAACTCGCCTACTGATGTACCGTCAGTACCGATATCCATATTGGTGTATCAGTCATCTTTGAATTTTGTGAAATGACATGTATTATCGGTATTGGCAAAGTATTGGTCTTTTATTATCAGTTATCAGAATATCTGGGAATTTCCATATATCGGTGTATCACTAATACAGTTCAAGATTGTGTTTATATGAGAAAATGCCATCCTGCTCGCCGGGACAATTTTGTTATGTTGACATTGTTTTGACAGTTGTTAAAAATAGCTTGCAGCTCGGCATCTTTGAACATTCATCCTGGCCCAGCGTGCTTGTGAGTGTATATGTGGAGAAATTTTCATCCCAATAAGCAACATTGTGGCATCAGAGCCAGCCTGCTCGTGGATCCATATAAACACATGATAATTTTTTCTAGATAAATGTACCTAATGCAGTAAGATCTTGCTTACCGGGCTGTCCCGCTAAGCGGTCCAGCCCAGCTTCCATATAAATACATTGTACAGCTGGTTTAAAAGAACCATGAACAGCAACCGGAAGTAAACTATACTGTCAGTAACTGTGTGATATGGTATTGGACAGATTATTACATTTCTTAATATTGCAGCTTTGGTGCATGAATAAGGGAAAATAGTCTACTGGGGACATGCCGCAAGAAAATGATAACTGAATCCAGGACATCTGTATATGCCTACAGCCATGTCTCTGCTTAATAAAATTTATATGAAACATATGTAGTTTAATATTCCCTCTTTCGTCTTCTACCAATATGAACAGGTGATTGGCTGATTATAATATTAAACAATAAACTCTTTGTATTAGATAAGAATGATATTATATTATAAATAATATTAAATTAATTATATTAATGAATTATATTATAAATGAATTATATTATAAATAATAAGTCATAAAATTAATACTCGTCTATCTTTTTAACATAGACAGATTTTCATATTTCTTACTGTGGTGCATGGTGCCAGAAATTTTAGGGGGGGGAGGGTGTGAGCTGTGAGCAGGTGACTGAAGCATCACAAAGTGTCACCATACCCCAGTAAGGTCTATATTCTAGAGGTGGAGCACTAGAGATGTGAGGGGGAGTCTAGAGAGCAGAAAACAAAGTATCCCTGGAGAAATTTTAAAAAAATCATGCATCCTAGCTTTGAAAAAGTGGTCATATCAATGGATTTGGCATGTCCGATTGTCTGATGAGACTTGGAAGTGTTAAACGTAAAATGAACCTAATAGGCCAATACACAATATGCTTTTACCAGTTTTATAAAGTCATTGACATTGTGTCGTTTGAATCCGAATACATTTTATGATGCAACTCCGATGTAAATAATAATTGGGGCATAAAGATTAAATCTAGGCAAGTCTATTTTATAAAAGCATTAAAAACTAAAAATAATGTTCGTAAAAATCCAAATGTTCCTTCCGAGCAAGCTATTTGCATGAGAAGGCACTGCAAACTCTATTCAGGGGAGATAATAGAGTTTCAAAACTTTACAATTGCTCCAATAAACCAGTGAATGCACTGTCTTTTTCTATTTGAGTGTACTCCTACGTTTATTTTATATCATCAACACTGTGCATGTTGGAGTGGACTATTTAATTATTTTTTATTATGCCATTGAATGTTGGGGGGGGGGTTGAAATAGTTTTTTGGAGGGGTGGTCATTTTGTTTGGGGGAGGAGTTATAGCTAATCCGTCTATGCTTTTTAATCTAGTTAACTTAGGTAACTGAGGAGTGATTCAGATTAGCAAGCAAGTCTCCAGGTCTATTGTTCTTGCAATTTTGTATATATATAGCTATTTCAATTAAGGTTGTCCCCCAAGCAAAGCAGAAAAGTCGAATACAAGCGCGAAAGGCTGCTGAAAATCGCTAATAAATTATATTTCTGTATACACCACATATAATACTTAGAGTGATGCTTACATTCTCAATATGTAAGTAAACTTTTACAGATTACTAGCTGTATAAGGATGTATATATGATGGATCTCCAGTGGCATTTGCATGATGTGTTTGGAACAGTGTTTAATGTGCATTATAAAGAAATCTATGGACTTTGAACGAACGGTTTGTCAGATAATATTGCTTGTCATGTGGAAAGAGTTGAAAAATTACTGCTTCAAGTCTTCAGGAGAACTTAAATTGCTACAACACATTGCTGTGCAATCAGAACTACACCTAGTTGTGTAACAGTGGCTGAAAAAAGAACTTGTATAAATTGACAATAATTTGATGTTTTGTATGTTACTCTGAGTGTATATCCACACCGGGCAGGCTAAAAAGTTAGCCTGACCATGGGAATCGAACCCGCAACCTTTGGGACACTAGTCCAATGCTCTGCTAACTGCATATACACTCAGAGTAACATCAAAAACAATATTCACCTGAGTATACCTGTACATATAAACACCCAAACAACACATTCTTAATAAGAAAATTCTTTTTAAGAAAAATTTCTTGATTTGAGAAATTATTTTCTTAAAATAAGAAATTATTTTCTTATTTTAAGAGAATTTTCTTATTTCAAGAATTTTTTTTCTTGGGAGAATAACAAGAAAATTTTCTTAATAAGAAAATTCTTTTTAAGAAAAATTTCTTGTTTTGAGAAATTCTTTTCTTAAAATAAGAAATTATTTTCTTATTTTAAGAAAATTTTCTTATTTCAAGAAAACTTTTTTCTTGGGAGAATAACAAGAAAATTTTCTTATTAAGAAAAAAAATGTCTTGATTTGAGAAAATATTTTCTTAAAATAAGAAAATATTTTCTCAATTTAAGAATTTTCTCTCAAGAAAATTTTCTTAATAAGAAAATTTTCTTAAGAAAATATTTCTTATTAAGAAAATTTTCTTGTTATTCTCCCAAGAAAATATTTTCTTAAAAACAAGTTTTTTTTTTCTTAAAATAAGAAAATGATTTTTTGCTGTGTGAGAGTTCTCGACATTTCCATTTGCTGTGACTCGTTGACAGTGGAATAATGAGTAACACTCTGCAGGTTCTTGTGGCCCGACAGTTGAATAATGTCTGTTGGTGGAAAGTTTTGGTTTACCAAGGCCTGCATCATTGTTTTCCTTCCGCTGTGGTTGGTAAATTTGGTAGTAAGTCCAGCTTTCGCAGCCATGTTCTTCATTATCGAATTTAGTTTATTAACCCCGGCGGGGGCTTTTTTGAACCAAGCTTTACATGAAACGGATTCAGGTTTCTTTAAATTGTCTACAGCAAGATAAAATGGGCTATCGTCGCTGTTCATTTCTGCCGGACGTTTTTCCGCAAAAAGTTTGTACGCAGCAATAGGATCTCTTTTATTTCCTTGTACGGAAAACATTTTTGGAGTTACTTTTCGCACATCTCTGGTGTTTTCCCCCGAGCGTGTTTTCCGTTTGCCTTTCGTTGTATTCCAAATATTCCTCGCCAGAGACCGTTTTATGTAATTTCACGTCGCCCCAAGTCATATCGCGATGCTCTTTACAGCCACGTAATCCAAAGTGTATTGTATTGTTGAACCAAAGAGTGTTCAGTAAAGCATCGGGACTGGATGTGCCCATGCAGCAAGTCTTTTTCATACAAAACAGCTATGTCGTCTTCGCTGAGAGCAGATGAAGCATTCGGTTTATTTCCTTTCCCCTGTCGTTTTAAATCCTTTTGTTTT